CGAAGAGGGCGGGGAGAGGGAGCGGGGCTCGTTGAGGGGAGTTTGTGAGGCGGAAGGCGAAGTTGCGGGGGAGCCGGCGGGCTCCGCTCAAGGCGGCCAGCAGCCCCGCGCGCGCGTCCCGGCTTCGGGGCTTTGCAGTGGGGGGGAAGAGTCGGTGGCGGCTCCGGGGGCCTGGGAGAAGAGGGCAGCCGCCGACGCGGCTTGGGAGCGGGCTGGTTGAAGGGCGGCGGAGGGACGAGGCTACCGCGGGCGACTCCGGAGCGCCGAGCCGGACAAGCGCTTCGTCGCCGGCCGGGGACGGGGATTCGGCGGAAGGCGGGCAGGCGCGGGAAGGGGCGGCTTCCGAGGGGCCTGGCGGGCAGCAGTTGCCGTTAAAGCCGGGCGAGGCGATCCCTCGTTCTCCTGGCGGTGGCGGCCTGGCGAAGGCGAGGACGGAGCGGGACTCGGAGCGGCTTCTCCCGGACGGAGGAGCCGCGCAGTCTTGCCGGGGCTGCCGAGGACCAGGCGGAGGGAGCGGAGGCGAAGCGGTCGCGGCGGGCGCTTTGTTGGCCGGAGCGGAGCAGCCGGACTGGGTCTTGGGGCCCGCCTCCTCCCGCCGCAAGTTCAACCGGCCGCCGCTTCTTTTGCCGGGCAGACAAAGGGAGGCGCGTGGCTGTCCCCGCGGGCTCCGGGGGAGGAGGAGGAGGCGGGGGCGTCTCTCCCCCGCCGTCGCCCGGCCGCTGGGGGGCAGCGGGGCCAACGGAGCTCTCCGGCGTCGCCTCTTTTGGGCTTTTCCCGTCCCCGCCGCGGCGTTTTCGGCCGGCTCGCAACTGACCGGCTTCCCAACTGGCCTTTGCCGAGAGCCGGCGGCGATCTCGGCGGCTCGGAAGCGAGCGAGGCCGGCGCGGTGTACTTCGCCAGGAAAGCCGCTCGCGGGCCACGGACAAGCCAGCCTTTCCCTGCCCGCTCCGAGGAACCCGCGGACAGCCGGCGCGGCTTCCCGAAATGCAGGCGGAAGAGAGGCGAGCCGAAGCGGCGCTCCCGGCCGCCTTTTTGCCCGCCTTCCAGAAGGGGCTGAGGTGGCTTCTCTAGCGAGGCTTCTCCGCCGTTAGAAACCCGTCCGCTTCTTATCCGGGGAAGCGTCTTTCCGGGTAAATGAGGGCGGTTGGGGTCCCTTTGGGCAGCTGGAGGCTTGGCTCCCGGATCGGTGGCTGCGGCGATTCGGATAATAATATTTCCCGGGATCGTTGATTTTTTGGGGCTTATGAAACACCCTCCCGAGTGTAAACTTATCAAGCAAAGCCTCTTGGTTCGGGGTTATGTTTTTAGATAGGCTCTTCGTTGGGTTGGTTCAGACAGAGAATAGGTCTCTTTCGCTCGCTCGCTCTCCCTCTCTTCTCTCTTTCTCTCTCTTCCTCCTCTCCCTATTCTCCTTTTTCTCTTTTTCTCCTCCTCCTTTCTCTCCTCCCTTTCCCTTTCCTTCTCCTCTCCTTCTCTATCTCCCTCCCTCCTCCTCCTTCCTCTTCCTCTTCCTCTTTTTCTTCTTCCTCTCTCTTTTCTTCTCTTTCTCTCTCTCTTTCTCACCGTCGTCGGCGGCGGCTTCAGTCGCGCCTTTAGTTGTCCTTCCGCGGGGCCCAAAAGCCGCGCGCGATCTACTCCGAGCCCCTTCGCCCTTGGGAGGGCAGCAGCGTAGCCACAGATTGCATGTATGGATTTGCGGTAAGTTAGTGAAGAGAAGGAGAGGAAAAGAGGGTGTGGGGTGCTGATTCCCAACGGGACTGAGCAGAAAAACCAACAATCTGGGTTTTAATAAAACAAAAGCGAGCCTGTATTCCACCACACTTCCTTTTTTTCCCCTTGGAAAAGTACCTTGTCTTGATTTATGGAAAATGGTTATCTGGCCCACAGACCTGCTGGACTCTGAGCTGGTAATCTAAGCAGTCTTGGGTGGATTTGAAAGGGATTTGAAGTGCACAAGGGGAAAAAAGCCAAGTGAAGTTCTAAGGAAAGGTCGCAGTGCCCCAATGCACAAAAATGCCCTCTCCTCACTGCATTTCCTCATTTGCGCTATATTTTTAAAGAAGGAGAAAACTTTTCCTGAAAGTCTACTAATGAAAGCTGTGTGCACTATGATGGGTAGCCTAACTCTTGTGTTTATTTAGATGGGTGAGTTCTTTTTCCCTTTCCCCTTCCCTTCCCTTTCTTGCCCTTTCCTTCCCCCTTCCCTTCCCTTTCTTTCCCTTTCCTCTCTTCTCCCCTCCCTTTTCCTTTCCTTTCCTTTCCTTTCCAATTTGGGCTTTTGTAATACTTCTCTCTCACTTTTAATCCTGCCCTTCCTCCACAGATCTCAGACTTGTTTATAGCAGCCCTTGGAGATAGGTTAGCACCAAGGGAGCAGCAAGGCCCCTGCTCAAAGCAGATTTCCTGGCTGAGAGGAAATCTGAACAAGAGTTTCTAAATCTCAGCAACTCCATGGCTACATTACCCCGCCCTTGCGTGCCAAGATTCAAATGGACTTCCAGTGAAAATAACAGAGGAAGATGATCTGATCTTGGAGTTTGCTTGGGGCGGTGATCCTACAGAATCTGTCCTCTGTGCAACAAATGTTCAGGATGCAAAATATTTTCAAACAAACCTCTTGAAATGTTGCTTTTCTTTAGAAGACGTAGCTGTTGTCTTTTTCCTTCCCAAACAGTTGTGTTCACAGAGCAGCTGAAACCGAGTCCATTAAAGGCTTTACAGCTGCACTCATGCAGCATATTAAGCTTGGTTAGTTTGACACTTTGTTAGAGTTTGGGGTGAATCTTTGCTTTGATTCACTGGATTCTACAAATAAAGAAAAAATGGGTAAAATTAGTAAACAACCTAGAGGTGTGAACATGGTTGCTGACTTTGCATATCATGGTTTAGCCTCTGTAATAAGTCACAATGGATCCTAGTTGATGGATTGATCTGTCACATGATTTATCATGCTTCATCTTAGCATGGAATTGGTAGGTCGGTCTTCAAATATCAGATTTTCAGTGAACTGCCAGAGTATATATTCCACACAGAGAAATCATGACCTACTTTCTACTCCCCAACCTATTTTTACAGCACAAGGTATTTGCATTTTAGAAACAGAGTAATAAATTCTACGGCACTGAGGAAGAAGACAATCACTGAAAATGCTTGTGGATAGCAATAGTTTTAACATCATGTATAAGAAGAACTTCTTGCCAGTGAAGTCAAATCTCCCCATCTTGGCCAAAGAAACATTTTGGAACTAAAACTATACCCGTTTGTATTTCCCAGCATCTATTATTATGCCTGTTGCCTCTGATCTTGAAGGTTTCATGTTATTGTTATTGGTTCCTTGAATCAGTCCTAACTCCTGGTGACTTTTTTGACAATTGCTCACCAGTGTTTCTTCCTAGTGTTGAGAGGGAATGATTGGTCCAAGGTCGCCCAGCTGGTTTTGTGCTTGAGGCAGGATTAGAACTCACAGTCCCCTAGTTTCCGGCCTCAGGCTTAACCATTAGACCAAATAGGCTCTCTTGATGCTGGAGGTAACTTACAGAAATTGACTGTAATCACCATTGGGAGTCTTATCCTCTGTGAGCTGGTTTAAACTCTTTTAAGCCATCAAAATTTCCTGAGTACAAAGCTATTCCTCAACCATACCCATTCAGTAGATTTCACCTTGTCTTCTCCCTAGTGGTGGTACCTTCGTCCTTTCTTTGCTTTAGGACACTGAAACCCCTTGTTGTATTATAGAGAGGAAGAAGCACAGGTATAAAAGGCACTGCTCGTATGAAAGTTGTTGTGATTTTAAAAATAATTAAATATAGGGGTCCAACATGAGCAATAAACCAGGCAGAGTTGACTAGTTAATGTTGCCTAAGGCAAAACATTGGGAAACACAGCTTTCTGTCCAGTTGGTTCACCTTTAGTGGATTGAATAACATCATAAGATTTATGGGCCTGTAAACTACCAAGCAGCAAAGCTGCAAAAAAGGAATAATGTGGTACTATATGCTGTGCAAGAGAATGTCAGGAGTTCAAACAAAGGGCGAAAAGAAAGGAAACAAGGATGGTTAGGAGACCAGAAATAAAGTCCTAGGAGAGACTGAAAGAGTTGAGTATGTTTACCCTTTAGAAACGATGTCAAAAGAGAGGAATATAATAGCACTGTAGCCTACCTGCAATAGAGAGGAAGGGAGTGATTTGTAAATTGCCAAGAAAATTGTAGGGACTCATTTCTGCGGGCACCAGGAGTTAGTATCAACCCAGAGGTTTGGAGTACAGAGTAATGATCTTGTTCCAAGAAGGCGGGTTACAGTTAAGTGAGGGAAATGGTAGGAATAGTTTGACATTAGGACCAATTCTCAAAGAAGGTGATGATGAATCCTTCAGTGAGTTGTTCTAGCAGAAGTCCATCCATCCATCCATCCATCC